ATAATCGCTCAAGTATAATATTCATTTAGGAACTAGAAAAGTTCAAGGTTCTTTTTAATTATTTTGCCTATCACTTTCATTCGTACTTAACTATTTAATAAACCAAAAAAGTACATTTTTTCATATTTCTTAATGAAAAAAGAAATTAAATTTCAGGGATTAGAGAGAGGGGTAATAAATATAAAGAACAAAACAAAAAAGATGCCGGCTTTGAGAAGCTTATGGAATCTCCATAATCGAATTGTTTCAGAAAGTTTCATGTCTGCTATAACAAAATATTGTTATGAATATTGATATTTAATATGCATTTATATTTCATTAAATTGTTATAAGCAAAGTATGAAAAATTAGAAAGAGTATGAATATAAAAATAGAAAGCGTTAATTATTTTTCCTTGTGAAATTATGACAATAGTTATAGATACAATTTAAATATAATTTTTTCAAAAAATATTTGTGATTAAAGTTTACTATGTGCATGATATAAATGATGATCAACATAAATATTTTAATAATTTACTTTATATATATAATATATTTCGTACAAAAACATCATTTAATAATATTTGGGTATAAATACTATTTAATAATATTTGGGTATAATTATTAAGAGGGATAATTTTAGAAAGAGTGTCCTGCTATAATTAATATCATTATGTTACAGGTATAATGTTGTTATAGAGAAATAAAATATAACATGAAAAATTGATTCATGAGAAAATCATATTGTTATAATAAATTATCGTTCCAATAAATGATCATTATAACAAGGTTTGTTTGTATGGATTAGCCTCAATAAAACTTTCAACCTCTCATTCCAATTAATAGTGATATGTACAATTAATAAAATTAACATATTTTATGTGATTAATTTAATTATATAATAAACATTTATTTTGTGTTTTTTTTTTAATAATTTCTACTTCTACTACTATCCATAAATACTTATTTTGTGCTGCAAATTTGATTATCATCTGGTCAATTCTCTATCTTATCCAAAAACGTATATATAAAAAAAAATCAAAACGAACTATTTTAAACAAAAAAACATATCTAAAGTACTTTTTTCTTGTTTTCATCATGTTTTTCATTTTCTTTTCTTAGCAACAAAATGAATAATTTATTGGTTAGGTGATCTTTCTTTTTTCAACTGTCACTATTATGCAAATAAGAAATAAAAATAAAATTGCATTGGGGAAATAAAAAGGAAACTTATTATTTGCACAAAATTGGGATGACTTCATAAAAAGACTATAAACTATTAAAAGAAAATTGTTATCCAAAGCGAAAATTGCGCTCCTCAATTGCAAAGTAGCTTTATAAATACTCTATTATAACACTCTTCTTTTCCTTCCAAAAGTAACATACTTTTAATTTAAAATTACTAATAGCTAATACAAATTAGTCAAGATCAAAGTTAGTTTAGTACAGTATTTTTAGCCTATTACTATTGAGATTTAAAAAAAAATTATTTATACTTTACGATGAATTTAATTTAATGGAGTAATTACATGAACAATGAAAATTGATATAGCCAACTTAATTTACTTGAAATTGATATAAAACAATAATTATTTTTTTATATATAAAATGATAGATATTACTAATTAAATTATTAGTATAGGAGTGTTCGACCAACGGTCACTCAGTCAGTCTTAACTCTTGACCCAAAAGCCAATATTACACAAAAATTTATTAACAAAACTACTAGTAGTTACATAATCGATTGATACAAATTTGTGTTTAGTGCTTTGAATTATAACGTAAAATTAATTGTTTGGTCCTCGAAAGAAACTTCATATCTTCATTCACACATGATCTTGATCAAAATATAATAAAATAATGTACATTATTTTCTAAATAAATCACACTATTATGTGAAAATAATATTAATTATTAGGTTTCGAATGATAAATAAATAAAAAAGGGAATTAAGAGAAAAGGAAATTTGAAAGGAAAAAAAAACATTCTTATTGAGGAGTTTTGTCCCTTATTGGAAAAAGATAGAAAAATCATTATCTTTATATAAAGAAACACTTCTTTCAAATCTTAAAAAGTTAACAAGAAATCAAATCATTGGCTATAAATTAGAAGTTTCATCTCAATTTTTGAACATTGAAAATTTGAAAACTCTTCTTCCCCATTTCTCTATCGTTTTGAAAATAAAATATAAATGTCGTGTGATTTATTCTGTCTTGTTGAGTTAAGCGAAATTCTATAATTTATATTGTCATTATTATAAAATAATTTCTTGTTCTATCCTAAAGGAATTAATATAAACACCTTGACAATGATGAGGTGTTTAGATTATTATGGTGATGTTCAAACTTAGAGACAAGAGGGATAATGGGTAAGAAAAATGATTGTCAAATTTGTAAAAGTTCCAGAAAATTTTGATCATTTACATAGTCAAATGTAAATAATGACCCCACATGTTATCAAAATAAATTGTTGGACCATTTCATAAAGTATCAGCATAATTTTGAACCTCTCCTCAAATTAAAATATCAAAATATAAAGATACGAAAATGAACCTTTTCATTTTATATTGCACAATCTTTATGATAAACAATGAGTATCTTTTTAGTTTTTTGTTTGGCGTATGGTATTTGCAATGAAATTTGACTAATTCAAATTTATATTATGTAGTGTTTCATTAGAGAAAAAGTTCTTCCGAAAATAACAAGTTGCTTTATTATATTAGTGGTGGGGGGGGGGGGACAAAACATA